TGGACGGAGAGAGAGAGAGAGAGAGAGAGAGAGAGAGAGAGAGAGAGAGAGAGAGAGACGTGCGCGCAGAGCATGTCGTGGTCCAGGTCGCAGCTCTCCGCTTTTGCCCTTCTCGACAATGCTGCTCGCAGTGTCGTCTATCTCACATCAATAAACTTTGTTCATTTCCTTCCAAATGACAGCAAGTAGTTTTGCAACGTCTCTAGTTTGTGACGCCGGATGGCCCTTTTCCCGCGGCGAGTTCGTGCCAGTGTCGTCGATAGTAACACTATGAAGGCAGTGAAAATGAAAAAGTGATGTATCACACTACTGGGAGAGCAGTATCGTTAACCAAACGATATCACCCCCGGTAGAGCGATATTGAATGGTATCGCTCCTTCAGAGTCATACAATGGGCGTTCGTCTGACTGTTCCAGAGTGCCCTGTGGCCTACATGACTCTTTTTCAGCGATGTTTTCGCTATACGGATGTCGTCATATCTACTCTTATTGAGCGACACAGAAATCATGTCGCTCTGTCTGGGCGATATTTAAAAACTCGTTACTGAATTTGGACGAGAATCGTGACTCTCGCGTTAACAGTGTGCTCAACCATCGTCGCCACCCATCGAGCGTGACTCTCCCCCCGGAGACGCGGTTGTACTCTCACTCGATCCCGATGGTCGACACCCCCGGTACACTGTGCAGTGCAGCCCGTCTTGATCACGATGTCCGTCCGGGCCATTTGCGGGGAATTCGATCACTGCCCCTCCACGAAACGCTACGCCCCGCTACGCCCCGCTACGCCCTGCTACGCCCTGCTACGCCCCGCTACGCCCCGCTACGCCCCGCTACGCCCCGCTACGTCCCGCTACGTCCCGCTACGCCCCGATATACGCGTCTCCACTCCACGTCCCAAACCAGGCCACTGACTGTCTTCTCGTATTACTGTGATGAAAGTTTTCCGTGTGGGTGGACGCTGGCCGGCACAAGCGGATATGGCCAAACCCAGCGGGCTCTATTTCCTCGGCACTCTTGCGGGTGGGCGGGAGCGGAGACCGATATCCATCAAGATGCGGAGGGGAGGGAGGAGGCAGCAGGGTGAACATGACGCCATTCTAAGATGCTGGTGTTGAAATAATGAGTGGTTTAATTTGAATTAAGTTTCAAGATTCAAGAGGCTAAAATATCAGCTAAGATAACACTATATATACATGTGAAATTTTCACTTCCTGAAACACCTCCTCGGGACCACAACTATCGAGCACGACGATGCACCAGAGGTATTAGGACTTTCCCCAAAACTGGATGAGAGTATTGTTGTGAAGAGTCAGGAAAATTTATCACAGCGGCATGACTTAAATGTCTGCAAACCGTAAAAAATATGGAGGCCGCGTCTGTCTGTACCGTGGATAGATCTGGGGAAAGGGGCCCGGGGGGCGGGGAGGGGGGGATATTCCGGGCCGTTACAGCTGTCTGCTAGCGACTAGATCCCCGGAACAGATTCCTGAATGGCACGGCTATAACGACGCCCGTTCTGGCGCCGCCAATTCCTCGGACCTTTGTGTTTAGTTAGGTTCAGGACGTCTCCCGGGCCGAAGCGGCGGCGGCGGCGCTTTGCGCTCTCCTTCGTTCTGGCTCGCGGGCGGCCCGGCGGCCTCCTCGGCAGCAGCGGCGGGAGCGGGGCTCAAAGCCTCCGTCGTCGCTGCTTTTCCTTTCGAGGGCTGAATCGGCCCCTTTTCCGTGTCGCTGGAGCTGCGCGCTTGCTGCGCGTGGAAAAGGGACAACAGAACGAGGAAGGGGGCGCGCCGCGTCCCGCCGGAGAGAAAAGATGCGATGCCGAGAGGAGAGAGGGGGAGGGGGGGGGCGCAGACTGATTGGGGAGATTCAAGCGCGGAGAGGAAGAGACCCCCAGTGCGCTCTCCCCGGCGGCCACTCGTCACTCACTTGCGAAGGTTGAGGCTGTAGCGCGTCGCCGCTCGGAAGGGGCTGGCGGGCGCCGAGTGAGTCGTGGCGGCGGCGTTGTCGGCGTCCTTGCTAGTCCCGGGGCTGGGCGCCGTCGTCCCCGCTGAGCGGCCGCCACGTGGCCTGCCTGCAGGCCCTCGGCGGCAACCTCGAGCGTCCCGTCCGCGGCCGGCACGACAGCACGACCTCCGGCACCTCACGCACTCGACGACGACGACGACGACGGCGGCGACGAAGACGTCGGCGCGCCCGGGTGCACGGCGGCGTCCTGAGCCGAGCCGGCCGGGGTCACGTGTTGGTCCCTGGCGGCAGGGTTGAGGGAGCGGGCGGCGGTGCACAGCGGGCGCGGGCCAGGACGCGACTGGGGCCCCTTGCGCTCCTCCAGCCCGCCCCACCGCTGCGCTCTCCCCGCCCTG